AAATAAATACCAAACTCATACATATTCCTGCTCACCCTTGGTTCCTTATTCACTCCCTCATGTTAGGGCCTGGGATGGAAATCGAAACAGTCAAATAATGCATTGTTTAGGTCTTGTACTCGTTTCCAAATTGAACCCTCCAACTAACAAATTAGGTTTATATAGGTTTTATTTAACAATGTTGTGTTATGCCCCCATGTGTTATAGTTATAGGGTTTTTTATCTTTAATATCTAAAAAATATATAGAATATTAATTAAAATTAATAAACATATAAAAAAATTCATTAAAATAACAAATTAATATTTTAAAATAATGTGACGTGTAAAAAAGTTGTAAGAAGCATATTATTAAATGAAGCCATAATGTTTATTTATTGACTCTGGTTCTGGCCTGCACAAAAATTGAACAATAACACCGATTAATTAATAATACATAAATTTTTTTTCCAAAAAATAATAATCATAAAATCCTGAGGGATGGCTTGTTAAAACTTGAGATAGATAGCTAAGAAAATACATGGCAGAATAACACAAGCTATTTTCATTTAAATTTTACACTCTTTCCTTCAGTCGATAGTTTAAGGGAAATGAGTATAGACAATACGCAGTCAAAAAGGAAAACAAACAAAGAACCAACAAGGCTTAGCCGAGTTGGTGTGTATAAAAGACAGACATTATATTATACTATTGCAGATTTCTTAATTAATTTAACACCAGGTTTTAATGTTTTTTTCCACATAATTTTAATTTGTTTACATTTTTCAAGGTTCACTCTAGCATGTGTCCTTGAAAATTACCAAAGTACTCCATGCGTTAACAACCAAACCTACACGGTCACAGCCTGTCCGCACACGGTTTTGTCTTGTTTTTATTATTATTATCATTATTAAGATTTATCTAATATATACCCTAAAAATATAAATTAAAAGTATAATAAATATATTTTTTTATAATTAATTTATATAAAAATTATAAAAATAATATATATTTTAACACCACCTACAAGTAAATTACTCTAATTAATTAGTTAATTGATTAAGCAAAAATCAATATTTACACTTTTAATAGAAATTAATTATAAAAAAAATATTTATTATATGCTTATCTTGTATCTTAAAGATATAAGATAGAAAAAATTTTATTATTATTATTATTATTATTATTA